AAAAAGTTAATACAATGACACTTGTGTTTTGTGCTTAGCCAAATGACACTGGTTCTAAAATCTTTTAACCTAAACCATTGTAGGAAAATATAGGCTTGAAGTTCACTAACAACTGGAGTGAGCTGTGTACAAATAGGCCAAACGCCTGTTTGGTCTTAGGCTTCTTTTTCTGAAATTCAAAAAGTTCACTCAGCAGTTTGCCATTTTGTAAGACTGGGATTTCAGATAACATTTAAATGCAAGCCTCGCTTGTAGTTTACATGTGCTTCTGTGCTGAACTGCTGTGGGACTTGTGTCATGTAACTATATTCACTGTTGTATTAGAATATTTTACTGTGCATGTACTATAGATGACAGACTTCTCTGTAGATAGACAGCAATGTTTTAAATGTTGATTCTCCATAATTTTTTCTTTATTAGTTATTTTTATATGTCATTGCAATCATTTGGGTATTCTCTTATGCATGATACTGCCAGAAGAAAACAAAACAAAACAAAACAAAAACCCAGGTTTTGTGCTTGGACAGCCTTCATTAGCAATTCTGTGGTTTAAGAACCCTATATTTTAATTTTGCTGGCATACAAACTGGGAACATTCAGAGCCCCAGAATATGAACATGTGGTGGGTTGACCCTGGTTGGACACCAGATACCCACCAAAGCCTCTCTATCCCTCCCCTCTTCAGCTGGACAGGGGAGAGAAAATATAATGAAAGGCCTGTGGGTCGAGATAAAGACAGGGAGAGATCACTCAGCAATTACTGTCACGGGCAAAACAGGCCTAACTTGGGGAAATTAGTTTCATTTATTGCCAATCAAATCAGAGTAGGGTAATGAGAAACAAAAACTAAATCTTAAAACATCTTCCCCCCGCCCCTCCCTTCTTCCTGGGCTCAACTTCACTCCCAATTTTCTCTACCTCCTCCCCCCCAGTAGTGCAGGGGGATGGGGAATGGGGGTTGCGGTCAGTTCATCTCACATTGTCTCTGCCGCTCCTTCCTCCTCAGGGGGAGGACTCCTCACACTCTTCCCCTGCTCCAGCATGGGGTCCCACCCATGGGAGACAGTCCTCCATGAACTTCTCCAATGCGGGTCCTTCCCATGGGCTGCAGTTCTTCACGAACTGCTCCAGCATGGGTACCTTCCATGGGGTGCAGTCCTTCAGGAACAGACTGCTCCAGCGTGGGTCCCCCACAGGGTCACAAGTCCTGCCAGCAAACCTGCTCCAGCGTGGATTCCTTTCTCCACGGGTCCACAGGTCCTGCCAGGAGCCTGCTCCAGCACGGGCTTCCCATGGGGTCACAGCCTCCTTCAGGCACATCCACCTGCTCTGGCGTGGGGTCATCCATGGGGTGCAGGTGGATATCTGCTCCACTGTGGACCTCCATGGGCTGCAGGCGGCCAGCCTGCCTCACCATGGTCTTCACCACGGGCTGCAGGGGAATCTCTGCTCCAGTGCCTGGAGCACCTCCTCCCCCTCCTTCTTCACTGACCTTGGTGTCTGCAGAGTTGTTTCTCTCACGTATTCTCACTCCTCTCTCCCAGTTGCTGTTGCACAGCAGCCTTTCCCCCTTCTTAAATGTGTTATCTCAGAGGGGCTACCACCATCGCCAATGGGCTTGGCCTTGGCCAGCAGTGGGTCTGTCTTGGAGCCGGCTGGCATTGGCTCTATCAGACAAGGGGGAAGCTTCTGGCAGCTTCTCACAGAAGCCACTCCTGTAGCCCCCTGCTACCAAAACCTTGGCACACAAACCCAATACAGAACACCAATGCATGTTTCATCCTCTATCATGGCTGTAAATTTAGAAGTGTGAGACATTTGTACAATGGATCAACGTCAAGGTACACCCATTTTCCCATAATTGCAGTCATTCTCTTTAACACCCTTTTGTAATATCACTTCTGCAAGATCATCCATCTATTTCTGTCAGCTAAAAACTATTGGGTCCCCAGATCCCAAGCCAGCTGTGGTTGTTTCTGACTGTTCTGCATAGCATGCATTGGAAATTGTAGAGTTTTCCTGAGATATTTCCACTGAAGCCTATGCATACTGTGTGGACATAACCCTCAAAATTATATTTAAGAATCTGCTGAACTCATTAACCAGGTCTAATAGGAGAGAAACTTCATAAAGTGTGTAAGGAGCTTTTCAGCTGCAAAGAAGGTTCAGAATTCCAGATCAGTTAGAGATCTGAGCATTCAAATGCAAAGTCTTCATGCATTTGAAAGTGTATTCCCAGGGTCTTGCTTTTTAGAAATTAAAAATAGAAGTAATTCCTTCAATGTCAATGGGCTGACAATGATCAAGAAGTAAACTGTTAACACTTTTGTCTGTGCTTTGGAGTTTAGGCTCCTGGCTGGAATACAGATGCTGTAGGTATGCACAAATAAAAGCATTAACTGCAGCTTGATAGCATAAATTATTTGAGGTTTAGATTTGGCAGAAGTTCTGTTACTTTTTTCTCAGTACCTTATCCCAGTACCCATTCATCCATCACTCATTTTTTAACACCAAAAATCATTTAGGAGGTGACAAAATGACAGTTTCCCCCCTGGATTCAGCATCAGCAAAGACTAAGTACTCTATTTCCTTAGAGGCACAAAAATTTATTGCCTGAAATCCATTCCTTAGGGGTAGTTCTAATTCATAAATGAATAATTAACTGCATGTGTTTTTAGGGTACAAATGGAGAAAATTCTATTCTACATGAACTACCAATGAACGCACAATGATGGCTACTTTACATTTGGTTTGAACTACTTTTAAGCCAGAGCAATTAGTGAGACTGATTGCTTTCATTTGAATTGGTAACAGGTGTCTTCAATTAAAGCCTATGCATTTTCCTTGAACTTGTATGTTCATCATGACTTTGCAGAATTTTATGCTGCCATGAATCATTTCTGCCAGATAAGACATCATAGCAAAATGTGGCAATGAAATTTTCAGAGAGAAATATTTTGGGCTAATTAGTATTTTGCCTGAAACATAACAGAAGAGGAAGGAAATTTTGAACATTCGGAGAGCTCTCTGTGAGCCCTGAACTCCTCAGCGTCCTGTGTAACCACTCAGAATTACAATTAGATCTGAAAAAGGTTTTAGGCAAAAAGTCAGTGTGTGCAGCTTAATTCCGTGTTTTGGAGAAGTCTTCCCCTACTGTCACGTAAATATGCTTAGTCCTTTAACATATCATTTTTGTACTAATACCATCAGTTTTTCATAAGAAAATTTTCATCTGATTTCAAAACTAGACTGAACTTCTTCAAAATTAATCCAGAACATCCTGCATCTCTACATCATTGCTTGCACGGTTGGCTTATACTGGTTAAAAACCTAGTCATTGTGCTTTTCCATTCCTTTCTGACCACCATGTCAGGGAACGGTACAACACAGGGATAGAAAGGACAGATCAGTTCGAATTTCTAATGCTTTGTATACTGTTAAAGTCAAACTGCACACCTGGCTATGGCATATATTTAGCTAGGATGTTAATGTGTTTCACACTTCTTGTACCATGAACAGCTATACCAGTTCCTCTCCTATGGTTAGCAGAAAAGCACACAGAAAAAATTAAATTTTGAGGCGTTTCCTCTCACCCCTTTGACCCTTTCCTTTTCCAACTATCTTTATATCAAGAAAACATTTTGTCTGTAGTGGGGATAAAAGTATGAGAGAACCAGACTGACGTACATGCAATTAATGTCTTCATATCGCTGCTGAAGCTGAGAGTAGTCACGTAAGAAATTTGAGTCTAAAAACTTGGAACTTGCTATACCAATGGAGCAGTTTGCATCTTGAGCAGTAGCAGGGATTTTATATACCTGAACTATCTTTGGCTTTTCTGATTTTGGAGTCAGTTCTTTAAAGACTGTCATGGGGGTAGGTTACAGAAGAAATTGCCTTACAGTTAATGTGCCAGTTTAAGTAGTGAAGAATATTTTTTTAAAGTGTGAAGACAAAATGAAACAGTGGAAGATAAGATTGAAAGGAGAACAACATGTAAAAAAGTATACATAAGGTTAAGGCTTTATAGTCTCAATTGGTGGAACGCCACATGAATAATTCCCTGCAAGGAATTCCCTGCTAAATCAGAATCTCATTAACTTTACTGATACTTCTAATGCAGAGACATTAATGCATCTAGGTTTTCAATAAATCACAATATAATCTCATACAGAATAATAGGAAATAATCTTTTTTCTCAACCAATTATTATGAGTAGAAAGGGAAAATTATACACTTTTCAGGTGAACAGAAAGATTTGTGGGATAAAAATGAGAATGAAGGCACTGTCTTTAATTACCTTTTTTAAAAATCACTTTGACTAGTCCTTGATCTGTCAGATTATGAGGCAAAGCAGTTGGTAGCTTTGGTTTAAGGAATTATTCATTGATCGTAGGGATTTAAGCTGCATATAGGAAGGGTTCTGAAATTCTTCAGTGGAGAAGATGTAGAAAAAGATAGAAGTGTAGTGTGGTAATACTACCTGCAAGGTAGGTTGAACAGTTATTAGAATCTGCTTATTTAAAAAACAGATGTTCAGAACTAAAAGCTGTTTATACACGCACACAAAAAAGTCATCCCTACCTCTATAGGATACATCCTGCTATAGTTCACTGAAATTTTGAACAAGTAGAAAAAAAAATATATTTTATATATTATTTCTGACTTGACCTGAAAGATTAGAAAAAGGAATTATCTAATATTTTATGGGTGATTTCTGAGTCTGTTGAATAATTTAATTAATTTTCTTGAACTAAATCTGTCCTGTGGACTCAATGCTTATGTTGTTTCCAAAATCCCAAGGAAAGAAAAAAAATTCTTCTCTTCTGTTCTAAAACAAACAAACAAACAAACACACACAAAAAAAGTTTAAAAGCCTTTAGCTTTTGGTTTTTTCTAGATTATTTAAATGAAGGTAATGAACATTTATTGAGTGTAGCCATTAACATTACACAATAATTTCCGTAATTGCTTTCACTTATTTTTTTGTTTTCTTTCAGAGATCATCTATAGCTGGGTATTTAATGAATTCCCATCTTTTGTGGCAGAAGATAGCAGACGCTTCATCTCTCAGGAGACAGGCAATCTCTACATCTCCAAGGTGCAAACATCTGATGTTGGCAGCTATATATGCCTGGTAAAAAACACAGTGACAAATGCCAGAGTTCTGAGTCCTCCTACACCTCTGACACTGAGAAATGATGGTAAGAGGCATTATTCCTGGGTACCACATGGAAGCAAAAATACTAAGCCCAAAATACTTTAGGTAATTTAAGAACCATGATTTTATTGTTTTTCAATATGTGCATGCATTTACTGCAGCAATCAGCAAAGGAAAGGTGTTCAAGGAGACAGTTTCTTTTAAAACATCTAACAGTTGTGAGAATATTTAGACCTCTGAAGGCTGAGGTGCAATCTGACACCTCATGATGTATTCTGTTTAGAACAGTTACTCCTTCTTGCTATTCTGGTGCTCTGTCACTGACAGAAAGAAGCAAATCTCCTTTCTCAGTAACGTCTGTTTCTTTAGGGCTCAGTTCAGTTGCCTCAACGCAACTGGCCACTGCCACACTGAGATACCCTCAGGCATCTGAGACATCCACAGGGGACTGGCAAATACCACATAGGGCATACAGACCAGCAGCAGGATGCCAGGAGATACACATTCATGCATCTCAGATGACACAAGGCACATATGGTTAGACAACTGAACAGGTGTCGTATTGCTTAAAACTTTACCTGTTGCTGTACTAAAGACCTGTTACAGTTCCAGGCTCCAGTTCAACGCACTAAGTACCACCAAGAACACTACAATAGCCTTGATTACAGTGATAGTTACCCACATAGTTTTGAATTTCATCAATGCATTTAACTGCTGTATTTTTTTGTGTAAGTAAGTACCTAAATGTTATTATCAAAAAGTGGCTTAGGATTTTTTCCCAAAAATCAAAAGAAAACACCTTCCGGTAATATTTCTTATGAGCAGTATGACATTTCAATATAAATGATATGTAACTCTCTATGATATGTTGGAATATCTGCCTACAGAGGCAACTGTGTTATTTGCTCTTTTCAGCAAAAAGATTCATATATTAAATTATAATTGCTTTTTTGTTTTGTTTTCTGTCAAAATAATGTTATTTTTGAGAATAATAATTAATTATTCCATAAGTGCCTATATTTTCTTTTTTTCCAAGATGTTCCACATTTAATGATGCTTTCTAGTTCTTCAGAAACACATTTCAGCAATTCAGCATATGTGAATCCATACTTACATAAATGGGAGAGAGAGAGGGAAAG